CGCCGCCGTCGCCGCCCCCGCCGTCGCCGCCTCCGCCGCCGTCGCCGCCTCCGCCGCTCGACCAGAACACCGTCGACTCTGATGACGACTTCTTTGACCCCATGTCTTGGGTCGACTCGCCCGGTCTCGTCCTCTGTGGCGTCGAGGGCGAGCTCGTCACGGCCGAGAACCCCGAGGGCTGCTACGCCAAGATTCCGGCTGCCATCTACGTTGACATGGAGATGTTCAAGATTGACAACCCCGAGGACTGTGCGTGTGGTGTGGCCCTGGACGTCAAGGACGACGCGCCCAGGCTCGTCGCTGCCACCAGCGATGTTTTCAACCTCCACTCGTCCGACGTCCAGCAGGTCTCGTTCATTGTGTGGGATATTGAGAACGGTGTCAAGCTCCGTGACATCAACAAGTTCTCGCTCGACAAGTCGCTCAACACTGCTGACTACCTTGCCACCCTCCTCACCAACTCGGCGCAGGCTGTCCGCCATCTGACCGGCTTCTACGGCCATGTCAACGACTTCAACCCGGCCGACTGGATCGTCAACATCACCCGTGAGGTGACGATGATCTGCTTCTCGACGGTCATCACGTACAAGGAGGAGAGCGGCAACAAGCACGCGTGTAACGAGGGTGGCGTCGAGGGCGACATCCTTGCTGTCCCGCCGTGCAATGCCAACTTCCTTCTTGATGTCGACTACGAGTGGACGACGTACCCCGAGCGCAAGTTCCAGCCGCTCGACACGCCACGGTTCAACTACGAGGTTGCGGCCGGCTCGTCGAACACCAACGGGAACGGCCCTGGCGGCTCGCACCCGGTTGATTGGTACAACTTTGATTTCTCGGGCGCTACCGTGTGCTCGGTCTCGACCGACTGCTCGCCGAACTTTTTCTGCGACCTGTCGACGAACCGGTGCCAGCAGTGCATCCGCGACTCGCATTGCGATCGGTTCTCCGAGGAGGGCGATCCGACGCCTCCCAAGTGCGTGACCAACAACGGGCACCGGATGTGTGAGTTTGACCGCGACAACGACCTCGCCGATCCGACGCCTGGCGTCATCCTCCCCGAGGGACTGGTCAACTGCAACCCGCGCTGCCATGGCCAGTACTGCAAGTCTGGCGAGTGTGTCGACTGTCGTGACTTTAACGATTGCGGTCTGCTCTTCTCGCCGGCGTCGACGTACTCAAAGGTGTGCAACCAGACGGCGCAGTGCAACTACGTGTACCTCCCGCCGCAGGCTGCCAAGAACGAGAACGCGACCACGGTCATTGCCATCGCATCGGCTGTCGGCTTCCTCGCCCTTGTCGCCATCATCGTGGGTGTCGTCTTCTTTGTCAAGCGCTACCGGGCCTCCAACGCCGCATACCAGAACAAGCTCGACGAGACCGCCAACGCTGACTCGATGCTCGGCTCGTCGCCGCTCTACGAGGGCCAGACCAAGATGGTCTCGAACCCGCTCGCCGGCAACGTTGAGCTCGAGTAAGCTGCGCTCGGTGTAAACCACCAATTTTCCTCTTGCCCCGTCATCCTACACTCGTCGTCAGCGACGGCTCGCCGTCCGTGACTTTGTTAGCGGCGGCTCGCCGAGAGCGCCGACGAGGGTGCAAAGGAGGGCATTGACCGGCGTCGGCACACCGGCCGCCGCACCCTCGCGAACAATCGCACCGTTGATGGCATCGACCTCGGTCTCGACCCCGCGCCGGACATCGGCCAGCATCGACGACGTGTTCTCAAATGTGTTGTTGGCGACCCGGACAACATGGTCAACAACAACAGCCGGATCGACGCCCTTGATGCCGCGCGCCTCTGCCACCGCCGAGGCCTCGGCCACCACAACCTGGACCAGCTCGCGCGCACGCGCCGACTTGGCAATGACCCCGTTCTTCCGCCCCAGCACTGCCGTCACCGGGTTGATCGCCGCGTTGACCATGAGCTTGGCCCACACTCGCGCCTCGATGTCCTCCACCGTCGAGACGTCGAGGCCGGCAGCTGCAAGCATCCGCTCCAGCGTGGCCACTTCACGCGCAGCGCGCGTCGTGTTGCCGCCCTCACCAAGCTGGGCAATGCCCAGCGCAAGCGGCCCGCGCCCGTTTTGCACCACCGTCGACGTCCCGTGCCGCAGCGTCGCTCCGCCCTCCATCACACCCTGCACAATCGTCGCCGACGGCAGCGCATCCGCAAGCTGCTCCACATGGCCTAGCCCGTTTTGCAGCGTGAGAACGAGTCCGCCATCGGGCGCAAGGAGCTTGGCCGCAAGCGCCGCCGCCGCTGCCGTCCCGCGCTGCTTCACCGCCACCACCACCACGTCGGCGTACTGCCGCGGGCCCATCCACGGACCGGGCACGCCCTTGGGCACGGTCGCCGCCACGCTCGTCACCGTCTCCTTCTGCCCACTCTCGGCATCGATGACTGAGAGCCCGTCGGCCTGGATCCGCTGGATCTGCGCCGCCCACTCGTCGACAACCCACACCGCATGGTGTGGCCCACCGCCACCATCGCTGCCCAGCTCGGGCGCACTCGCCGCAAGGCCCA